AGCCAGGTGGCTGGCATCGAGTATGGCAGCGGTAGTGAGGTTGGCCCAGGATGGGACATTGTTTCGTTCTGCTGTGCATGGGGTCGCTATGAGTCAGTTCCGACTCGATGGCAACTGACAACAACAACAACAACAACATATTGACTCTATGTATACCTTCCATATTCTTTTGATACTTTTTTTTGTCTTTTGCATCATTCAGTATTTTGCCATAGAAGCCTTCACTATGGTTAAGTTGAAGCTTGAATTTTTTCTTCAGCTATTTCAGCATAAGAAATGCTGAGCGTGTTCATCCCTTTTGATTTTCTAACTTAGACCTTTGCACATTTCATTATAAAACTTTTGTGTTCTCAAACTGTGCTTTGAAATTTTTTGTTCATCTGTTTTCCTTCTCCTTTCTTCCATTCACTTTAGCATCTCAACTGGAGCGCAAGTTTCAGAGTCTCTTCTGACGTCCATTTTGGTCTTTTCTTCCTTTCTTGTTTTTTTAGTGACCTTTTGCTTTCTTCCTGTATGGTGTCATTCCACAACGCTTAGGATTTTCAGTCTTTAGGTCTAATACATGAAATCTGTTCTTGAGATGCTCTCTAAATTCACATGGATTTGTTCAAGTTTATTTTGGTTCTCGTTGAAGTTAATTTTCTTCAACTTCAGTCTGAATTGCATATAAGCAATTGATCATTGATTCCACAGTCGCTCCCTGGCCATGTTTTGGCTGCTATTGATCTTTTCTGCTGTCTCTTTCCACAGATGTAGTTGATTTCACTCCTGTCTATTTCATCTGGTGAGGTCTATGTGTATAGTATTTTATGTTGTTTAAAAAAGGCATTTGCAATGAAGAAGTCATTGGTCTTGCAAAATTCTGTCGTGCGATCTTTTCTTTCACTGAGGCCATGTTTTCCAACTACTGATTCTTCCTCTTTGTTTCCATCCTCTGCATTACAATCACTAATAATTATCAATACATCCTGATTATATGTTTGATCAGTGTCAGACTGAAAAAGTACAGCTCTTCAATTTCATCCTCACTGGCTTTAGTGGTTAGGGTGCATATTGGAATAATAGTGGCATTAACCATTCATCCTTGTAGACCTATGGTACTACCTTCAAGATAGATCTTGAAATAGTCGTTGATGATGAATGCAATGCCATTCCTCTTGAATTTCTTGTTCCCGGCATAGTTAACTGTATGACTGGCAGACTCAAAATGGCCAGTACCTGTCCATTTCAACTCACTGATACCTAGGATAACAATGCATTCCATTTCCAAAATGCATTCCATTTCATTTTTGACAACTTCCAGTTTTCTCAGATTCATACTTCATACAGTCCCAGTTCTGATTATTAATGGATGTTTGCAGCTGTTTCTCCTCATTTTGAGTTGTGCCCCATCATCGAATGAAGGTCTCAAAAGCTTTAATTCATTCACATCATCGTGGTTAACTCTGCTTTAAGGTCTTCCAAAGTCGTATTTTGAGTGCCTTGCAACTTGATGGTCTCATCTAATGGCACTTCGATGTTCCATAAAATTTTCAGGGGCTAATTGTTCAGAAGTGGTTCACCTCTCCTTCGTCTTAGTCTGTCTTAGTCTGGAAGCTCAGCTGACACCTGTCTATCACTAGTATTTAGAATACCAGTGCCGTAACTCCCAGCACCATAGCAACATGCAGGCTACCACAGTACGTACAACTGACAGACGAGGAGTGGTCACCAACAACGGGTGATAGATTACAGATTTTTGATAAGTGTCAAAGGCCCAGAATTATTCCGCATTATTGCTTTAATTACCAGTTTTGTTTTTGTTAAGTGCCATCAAATCGGTCCCAACCCATAGTAACCCCACATCCAACAGAACAGAACGTTGCTCTGTCGTGAGCCCATTTGGGGGAACTTGTCTTCCAGCACTATAGTAGACATGGTTCCACTCGTCTCCATAAGGTTTACACTAGTTAATTTTCTTTCTGGAAATAGATCACCAGAACCTTCCTCCTAGCCTGCCTTAGTTTAGAAGTTCTACAGAAACCTATGTATGTTGGGTACCCTGCTGCTATCGGAAGTACCAGTGACATTGCTTCCTGAAGCACAGCAACACACAAGCCACAATAATAGAGGAAACTGACCAGTAGGTGGTTTTAAACAATTAAGCGTCATGTTTGGATTTTTCACTGGAGAAGATCACTGGCTGCAATGTAGACAGCAGGTAAAGGGAGATGCCGTCCGGCAGATCAGTGAGTGCTACATAAACAAGTCTGAGGAGAAACAGTTGCAAACATCCAATAATAGTCAGAACTGGGACTGTATGAAGTATGAATCTGAGAAAACTGGAAGTTGTCAAAAATGAAATGGAATACATTTTGGAAATGGAATGCATTGATATCCTAGGCATTGGTGACTGTGAACAATGGGCGGAGGGTGGATGCGAGAGATTGATTTGGGGGCAGCAGGGGTAGGACTTGCTGGACATAGGGGTAAGTAAGAATCAGTGATGACAACCAGCTCTCTGGATTGAGCCAGTGAGTGGTCAGTGGTACCTTTCCTGAGGTGGGAACTGAAGACATAATGAGATGAAGTGTCGAGTGATAACTTGTTGGATTTGGAGGTTGCCTTCAGGATATCCTAGTGAGGCATCATGGGGCCACTGGGTGTACGTGGCTGGAGCTCCACAGAGAGAGCTGAGCCAAAGATACAACCACAGGGGAGTTTTAGGTTTGGGGACTGTAACTGTGTAGCCCTGAGAAGGGATGAGGTCTTCTATGGATAAGAGAAGGTTGAACCCAGAGGAAGCCCTCCTGTCCAAGGGAAGCCAACAAACCAAGACCAGGCACACAGCTTGACACCAATCAGAAGGCAATAGTGGGCTCATGAACTAGGAAACGGTGGGGAGATGGGGGGCTCCCAGAAAGAGTGGTTCACAGAGCTGGCCACTACTCAGAGGGCCAGCAGCAAGCCTGCCTGGGCCTTTGAGTAATACAGAGGCCATTCATTAGTGGCTTCAGTGCACAATAAGTGAGCTGCTCTCCACAATCATTTCTGATTGGGTACTGTTCATTGGCATAGAATCGGAGTTTGGTTTCAGAGCTATAAATAGGATATTGTTTGAAAATTTTTGAACGAAAATGCCAGGTGTGTATTTTTCACTATTGCTTCATTCTGATCCTTGAAATTCAAATGTTCTTAGCATGGAAAACAGTAAAATATCGTTGATTTTAAAGAGCAACGAGAAATTTGCCTTATTTTGTTGAGCCAGATTCTTTTACTAACGTTCTTCCAAATCCCTGAATGAACCTTGTGTTCCGTCTCTTAGGGCGGACCCTTTTCAGATGTGTTAAACGGCCCTGTTGGCTGTTTTCACATTTGTTAAGTACCACAACAGTCTAAACACAGTTCCACCACTTATTCTTGAGGGGAGCTCAGTGACTCGCCCTGAATCTGTGCCCTTCGGCCCCACGAGAACTGTGCACCTTCCCTGAAGACGTGTGTTGGGGAGCCCTGTGTGAGGAGCCTGGCTTGTATCAGTATTCCACAAGTGGTCTCCATGTTTCTCTTGTTGTTAAGTGCTGTCGAGTCGGTTCCAACCCATAGCGACTCTGTATAGGGTTTCCAAGGAGCAGCTGGTGAGCTTGAACCACCGACCTTGTGACTCAAATGACTTTGCAGTCCAGCACATCCTAAGTATTTCCGTCTTACTCTAAATCTTGTTGAGAATCAGTTCTGTTAATAGATACCAGCTCTATTATTAAAAGAGTTACTGAGGATTTGCTGTTTTACAGAGCGGAGGAACCTATGCGTTTTGGAAACATCATGTATGACAGAAGGGTGATCCGAGGCAACACCTATGCTCTGCAGACATTGTCGCTGGTCAGTATCCTCCAAATCGGCCAACAGAGCTTCCCACATGTCCGTGGTGAGGGACTAGTGTGTGTATGTGTGCGCGCATGCATGGACTGCAGATTGAAACATACAACACAGTAAAGACAAAGGACTGAAAAATTGGAATGAAAAACACACACACACAGTACAAGGCTGCAATTTTATTATTAGATTTAAAAAAACCTAATTGTTGATAAAATTGTTCAAGTTGTGCCAACAGTTCCCAGATGGCACTGGTCTAAGAACCCCCTTTTAACTGTACTGCTCTGATTCATTTGTTGAGGTTTGGTGCCGTGGAATTGGCTCCAACATGCACAACAGAACAAAACACTACCTGGGCCTGAGTCACTCTCACTGTTGTTATGTTGAAGCCTGTTATAACTGCCCCTGTGCTGTCCATTTCGTCCTGTTTTTCAATGACCCTTTATTTTACCAAGCATGATGTCCTTCTTCCAGGACTGGTCCTTCCTGATACATGGTGTGGTGGTTACTGGTTATGTGCTGTGGAGTCGGTTCCGACTCATAGCAATGCTGTACAGGGTTAATAGGTCCAAAATATGTGAGACAAAGTCACACCACCCTGGCTTCTAAACATTCTGGGAATGTTTATTCCAAGACAGACTATGTTCTTCTGGCAGTCCACAGTACTTTTCAATATGCTTCACCACCACTATAATTCAAAGGCATCAATTCTTCTCCAGTCTAACTTATTCACTGTCCAACTTTCACACACCTATAAGGCCGTTGAAAATACCAAAAACTTGAGTCAGGCACACCTTAGTCTTCAAAGCAACTCCCAGCGTTGCTAATTCGGCCCACGCTACCATTTGTTATGACTTTCTGTGGCACTGTGGGTTAATGCACCGGACTAATGCAAAGTCAGTTTGAGCTGCAGGGTAAGTGGTTCAAGCTCTCCAGCCGCTCCTTGGAAACCCTATGCAGGGTCACTATGTGTCGGAATCAACTCAGCGGCACTTAACAACAACAACTAGGAATCAAGACAGTCTTCTTGGCCGCAGAACTGACACATGAATCAGCTGAATACCCACAATTGCCATCAAATCAATTCCAACTTATAGTGACTCTGTAGAGCAGAGTAGACGGCTGCTTAGGGTTCCTGAGACTGTAAATCTCATGGGAGAAGACAGACCTATCTTTCTTCCACAGAGCAGAGCAATTGGTAGGTCTGAACCCCCACCCTTGTTACCAGTGCTTAACCCACTGTGCCACCAGCGCTCCTATTGAACAGAAAAGAACCCAGAAATAGACCAGCAAAAATAGACTTAGCTGGTTTTTGACAAAGGGGCTAAAGCAATTCAAGAGAGAAAAGGCAGTCTTTTCAATAAATGGTCTTGGAACAATTACACCTCCACAGGTAAAAATTTTAAAATGACCTTTAGCCTAAATCTCACATCACATACAAAAATTCATTTAAATGAGTCATGGATTTAATTATAAAACTACGAAACTCTCAGGAGTAAACCTTCTGAACCACAGCATAAGTGCAGAGTTCTTAGATAGGAGACCAAGAGCACAATTCATAAAATAAAAAATAATAATCAACTAGATCACATCAAAATTCACAGCTTTGTGATATGAAAGACGCTGTTAATATAGTAGAAAGACTAGGAACAAATTTGCCAGCCACTTATCCCAACAAAGATCTTATTATATCTGGAATATACAGAGAACTGTCAAAACTCCCAAACAGTAAGTAAATAGTCCACTTAGAAAATGGTCAGAAGACATGACGAGATATTTCACCATAGATATGGATGGCAAGTAAGCACATGAAAAGATATTAATCATTATCCATTAGGAAATGCAGGCTAAACTACAATACTTTGTTGTTGTTGTTGTTAAGTGCCATCAAGTCGATTCTGACCCATAGCGACCCTGTATAGGGTTTCCAAGGAGCAGCTGGTGAACTTGAACCACCGACTTTGCAGTTCCAAATGGCTATGCAGTCTAACATGTTAGCCGAGAGTGCCACAACAATATTTTGGTAGTGGTTATGTGCCATGGAGTCGGTTCCGACTCATAGCGACCCTGTGCAGGGTGTCCGAGGCTGTATCTTTTTCCTCGGAACAGCTGGTAGTTTCAAACTGCTGACCTTGTGGCTCACAGCCCAATTCGTAACCACTACGCTATCTAAAATGGAAAATGGAGTACAGTGGCTCCATACAGTAAGCACAGGACTGTGGACCACAAGGTGTATGGTTCAAGCCTGCCAGCCACTCCACAGAAAAAAGGTGAGGCTTTCTGCTCCTGCAAAGATTTTTTTTTTCTTTTAAAGCTTCAGAAACCCAATACAGGGTCACTATGAGTCAGAACTGCCTCGACAGTGCTTAACAACAACAACAACAAAATCAAATGCAGTGCTAATACTAAGTGCTGGCGAGAATGTGGAGCAACTGGAATTCGGGCAGACTGCTGTAAAGTTATCCATCTGCTCTGGCAGTTACCGACAAGACTAAGCACTCGCTTTACCATTCAACCCTGCTACTCCATTTCCAAAGAAGTGGAAGCATGTTTGCACAAATATAACACTTTCTTAAAAAAGAAATGTTTAACTAGACCTGTAAAACAGTAGGTTGGGTAGAGCAGTTCTGAAATGAACTTGTTGAAGTTCAATGTTAACACCCTAAACCTTTAAACACCCCACACCTTTTAAGAGCTGGCATTTATAATTTTGTTCATTTGAGAAACTGGAAATACATAAATCGTATTTATAATAATGTAGACAAATAAATAGTAAATGTTGTGTTGTTGTGAAGTGCTGTCGAGTCAGTTCTGACCCATAGCGACCCTGTATAGGGTTTCCGAGGAGCAGCTGGTGAGCTTGAAACGCCGATCTTGCAGTTCAAATGGCTTTAGTCTGGCACCACACCAGGATTCCAAATAATAAATAGACAAAAAAAAAATGAAAATATGAGTAACTATATTTAAAATGGAATTATAGACGATTCCTTTTCTTTTTAATATGCCTTAGATTATAACCCACGGAAATGGTATCTATGCCCGGTATCATGCTAATTGCATTAGCATCTGATCTGTACCTTGTAACCAGAAACCTTAGCGAGATGTTTTTGGTATTACCATTTACATAGGAGAAACCCGAGTATCGGAAAAGGGAGGTACTTAATGCACAGCTTACCAATTCTAGTTAACCAATCGCAGCCTTGGAATGTGAACTTCAGAACCAGTGTTCTCCTTTCTACTGCTCAGTGCTGGTCCCGGGGAAATTTTCTGTGGCATCACCACTTCCAACACTGTACAAATCTAAAGGACAGTAGCCACTGTGTTAGGAGATGGTGTCTAGGGAATTTTCACTGTAATGCGCTGCATTATCACTCCAAGTAAGCTTTTTTCAGAATTCTAATTTTAAATATTAAAACAGTTCTTCATAACAAGGGGAATGTCCAGAGTGAGATGGGTTGGCACAGTGGCTGCAGAAAGGCTACCACATGGCGACAGTAGTGAGGACGGCAGTGAGGATAGTAGTGACGCAGGCCCAGACAGTGTCTCATTCTGTCGTACACAGGACCTCTGTGAGTCAGAACTTACTCAACGGCAAAGAACACCTTTCATCTTTCACTTTGTGTTCCTGTATGCCTTGAGATAAGCTAGGTCGGTCTATCAGAATGGCCTGTGGCAAACCAAGAGCCTCCAAATATTGAAGAAGGACAGTGAATAATTACATTGTTAATCTCTTAACCAGCTGTTTCTCTGTACACTTAGACATGCTTCATTTACACTGAAGATATTTTCCTTGGGAACTGATACAGTTTTAAAGGAAATTTTGTCTAAATGAAATACAGATCGAAAAAACAAACTTGTAATGCTTTTCCATTTCTTCACTGCACACTGAAGTTTACTATCCTGACTGTTGGTATCCGTTGCACTAGGCCCCCCCAGTAATTCATGTAGAAATGCTGGCAGATTACATGGGTTCTGCACCATTTGCCCCAGTGTACAGCCCGACTGTGAAGTCACTCATGTGTTCCCTCAGACAACTCTGTAATGTCATGACAAACCTCCCATAAAACTCACCCTCCAGCCCCTAGTCCTGTGGAGGCGTTAAGGTGACAGGCAGACAGCCGCTGGGATGGTTTCTGGGAATCACCTCTGGAAGCGGATCTGTGCTGACTTGTGGAGCTTTCCTGACCCCTCAGGCGGGGCAGCAGGAAGCCATGGAGCTGCAGAGGCAGCAGCAGATGAAGAGGAGGGCCCTGGCCAGGAAGCGAGCCCGCGAACAGCTCCGACCACGTACCCCCGAGCCTGTGGAAGGCAGAAAACACATGGACGTGCAAACAGGTATGTGCCCAGGGCCAGTGGCTCCCTCAGTGTTTCACTGAAGCTCGTTTCTCTTGGGCCGTTCTATGATTTCTGTATCTCTCATGTTTTCTAGTCCTTCCCCAATCCTATGGCATGGGACATTGCTATATTGGGTATAGCAGGAAGTGTAGGCCGGTTACGTATTCTGTTCTCAAACCAGGCTGAGGTCTCCATTTTTATCCTCATCCCCCAACATGAGTCCCTGTTCTGTCCATCAGGACTTGCGGGGGTGCGGAGCAGTATGAAAAGGGGGCCCAATGGATTGAGGCATTTTCTTTGCCAGTTGAGAGCAGGACACCCATTCAGATCTGAGGGCTCATTGCCTCTCCCTTCTCTCTCCCCTTTGGTTCTCTGTTGACTCTGTATGTTCTCAAGACCCCATGGGCTCCATAGAAACCTGTGCCAACCCCCCACCCTCTACCCCAGCTTGTCTTAACTGTTCTGAATGCAGGGGGGCTTTCCTAAACCCACAGACTTAGTAATCAGACAAGACTTGGTGTTTTACTTGGTCAGTGAACCTATTCATGCATGATCCTCCTGAAGCAGCCAGCTGGTGAGTGGAGTCACCAAGAGTCTTCTAGAGCCATTCTGCTCTGCCCCCCTACCCTGAGGCTGCATCTGGGGCCTGCGCATGTTTGAGATTTATGGTTGTGTTCTTGTTGTTGTCATGGAGTTGGTTTTGATTCACAGCACCCCTGTATGGGTTTCCAAGACTTTTAAATCTTTGTGGGATCAGAAAACCTCATGTGTCTCCCATGGAGCAGTGGGTGGATTTGAACCACAGACGTTGTGGTGTGCAGTCCAGTGCTTATCATATGAAGCCTCCACCGTTCCTGGTTATGTTATACCATAAGAATAATAAATGACATCGTAGCAGCCAACTTTGCTGAATATCTCCTGTATCTCAGAGAATCAACCAAGTACTTTATATAAGCACCTTCCTGTGTGGCCACAAAGATTCCATGAGACAGGTCTTTCTGATTCCCGATGAAGAACCAAGCCCTGAGAGGACATCACTTGGCTAGGACCTGTGTCCAGCATCTGATCCCATGTTCATGTTCTTGGCATGGTACTGCATTGCCCCTGCCTCGCATGAGTCACTTGGCTAGGACCTGTGTCCAGCATCTGATCCCATGTTCATGTTCTTGGCATGGTACTGCATTGCCCCTGCCTCACATGAGTCATGCCTAAGGTGAAACTTGTTTTCTCCTATGTTCATTCTCAGTCTACAGTGAGAACATCAGGTTGCTTAGTGGCATGGGGCCTGGTCTCATAAAACATCCTGGAATTTTCAAATTGTTGTACTCGGACATTACCATCTTAGGAGTCAGTCATATGCTCATTCCCACATGTTTGGTAAGGTGGAGAGTCAGAGAAAAAGAGGAAGACCCCCAGCGAGATGGATTGGCCAATTGGCAGCATTGATGGACTCAAGCGTGGCAACCGTAGTGAGGTTGGCCCAGGATCGGGCAGTGTTTCATTCTGCTGTGCATAAGGCCCCTATGGGTTAGTACCTAACTCGATGGCACCTAACCACCACAACCCCAATACACTTAGAATCTAATACACACACACACACACACACTCCCCTTCTGTATGGGTCTATCATGCCATTTGCAAATACAAAGCTCGGTACTGTGTAGACATTCAGTCATTGTTCTATTGTCTTCCAAATATTCAAAACTCTTGCTTGTACTTGTGATGTTCACTCCAGATTGGAGCACTTTCTTTGTCAGACCTCTTTCCTGAAGCAGTGAAGTCTGTTTTCATGGAGCAGATGTTTCCAAATACACATCTGTGCTTGAACCAGAAGCGACTTTGAAACGCAGTGTCTGTGGTGTTCTTCTCAGAACTGTACCTTGAGGAGATAGCAGACCGCATAATAGAAGTTGACATGGAATGCCAGACAGATGCGTTTTTGGACAGACCACCAACACCCCTCTTCATTCCTGCCAAAACTGGCAAAGACATGGCCACGCAAATACTAGAAGGAGAGGTATGGAACATCCTTTAGCTCTGTTCTTTTTTGTGAATAAAGTCAAGTTAGGTTTAAGGAAAAGCTGGATTTGGGCTAGAACTACTTCATACCCAGAAAAAGTCTACATATTGGGTTGAATCTAGTTACTACCTAGGATTGTGTTTTCCTGCAGTACTAGAAATGTTTTTAAATATTTTATGTCCTGATTTCTCCTGTTTACTGATCAAGACTGAAATCATTAGACGTATTTTTTAAAGACATAAATGTTGGATTTGTTTGTTGGCAAGCCCTGGTAGCATAATGGGTTTCACGTTGGGCTGTTAACCGTGAGCTCGGCGGTTCGAATCTGCCAGCTACTTCATGGGAGAAAGATGAGGCTTTCTGTCCCCTTAGAGATTTACAGCCTCGGAAACCCTATGCAGGGTTTCTGTGAGCAACATACTGAATAAGGAAAATTCACTTCCTGGGATAGAAGATGCTCTTACTAGCTGTTTGTGGAATACCGTATTCATTGGAATACAGTGTCTTCCGAAGCCATAAAACCAAGCCAGGAAACCAGACCCACTACGTGGAGGCGATCAACTCTGAGTCACAGCCACCCTGTAGGCACAGTAGAGCTGCTCCCTAGGGTTTCCGAGGCTGTAAATCTTTCACACCACTGACCTTCCAGTTAGCAACCCAGTGCTTAATCCCCTGTGTCACCAGTATCAGGCGCCACATACAAGAGCATGCTTGCCTCTCAATCCTAATGATGACTCTCTAGAATATCCATTCTTATTTTTCAGTTTTCCAGTCTGTCTTCAAAAACAATAATAGCTAAGCCTAAAAGGCATTGAAGAAGAGAGACACACAGGATACTTGTTTAGGGTTCCAGAGTTTGATCTTAAAATTGGCAAGTATCAGGGTTCATCTTGCTGACTTGGCCCTCTGACTTCAACAATGTGCTGTTGGATGCTCCTCGCAGGGTAGATGTGAGACCAGAGATGGGCACCAGCCCAGTGTCTGGCACCCAGAAGACACCCACATCACAACCCTCTATTGCTCCTATTCTTTGGGCAGGTTTTTTATTGGGCACCGTGTTCAGGATGCAGAGTTTCAGTTCGCTTTCTTGTGCTTCAGCTCTTCGACTTTGATCTTGAAGTGAAGCCAATGCTCGAAGTTCTGGTGGGAAAGACCATCGAGCAGGCTCTCCTGGAGGTCATGGAGGAGGAGGAGCTGGCCAACCTGAGGGCCAGTCAGTGCGCATACCAGGAATTACGGAACGTGGAGCTCTGCGAAGTTCAGCGCCTGGAAGAGCAAGAGAGACGTCACCAAGAAGAAAAAGTACGGAACTCTAGTTTTCCATCAGATTGTACTCAGAAATGCATGTGCCGTGTTGGAAATGTGTCAGAATCAGACCCCTGTGTGTGTTGCTCAAGTCTCTTCCCTCTTCTCTAGAGAGATTCTTCAGAGACCGAGTTTTATACCCTAGCTTCCCATGGGCACACACCAGCCTGCATTGGGTTTCCCACAGTCCCTACTCATTTAAATTACATCTGTGTGAAACAGAAGGGACTCTTAAATTTGAGGACTTCTAGAAAAAGAAATAGGAGGGGGCTTCAGAAAGTTCGTGGAAAAATGGAATTCAAAGATAATGGAATTTTTTCACGGACTTTTTAAAGCCATCTCCTACGTCGTACCAAACATCAGTGACAGAAAAGGTAGGTGGATGGAGGAAGTGGGATGTATTAGGGCTGGGTGGGGAGGAAGAGGCACAAGGTCTTGACAGAATCAGGTTTTCCTGGATGGCCAGGCCCTTGGAGGACACACCACCATTGCTTGGTCATTATAGAATATTTTCAGGTGTTTGGGACCTTTCATAAGCAAAGTATTATAATCTGCTTTTGAAAATCTACCAATCACCTTCCAGTTTGGAAGAACCCTCTGGTTCTAGCATTACTGCTGCCACCTTACGTTGTACACTCCATGAGCAAATGATAAGGAAGCATCACAGTACCTAAGGCTTCAGCTGATTTCCAAAAAAGCCTAACTTCCTACCGACAAGAGTGCTGGGAGATTCTACTCAATCCCTAAGCAAGTGAACATTAGCTTTTCCTCCAAAATGAGTGATTCAGCCAATGTGTAAAGAGCCTAGGGTGTGTGGCAAGGATAGAGCAAATGCACGACCACCATCTTATAGTATGTTGTTGTCAGTCCCACTCCTAGCGACCCTGCGGACAACAAAACAAAACACTGCCTAGTCCTGCCCCCTCCTCACAATTGTCCTGTTTGAGCCCATTGTCTGTAGCCAGTGTTTCAGTCCATCTCTCTCCAGGTTGTCCTCTTTTTCACTGACCCTCTACTTTGCCAAGCATGATGTCCCTTTCTAGGGCGGACCCTGCTGGTGACATGGGACAAAGCACATGAGACAAAGTCTTACAAATATGTTGTTGTTGTTGTTATGTGTCGTGGAGTCAGTTCCGATTTACAACCCTGTACAGGCTGTAAATCTTTATGGAAGCAGAAAGCCTCGTCTTTCTCCCATAGAACAGCAGGTAGTTTTGAACTGCTGACTACGAGGTTAGCAGCCTGATACTTAACCACTACGCTACCAGAGCTCCTTTCAAATATAGTCACTGTAAAAATTAATTTGGTTGAAATCATCAGGGAAATCTGTCTCAAAATTTTTTTTTATTTATTTACTGTTAAGAAACATGAGATATCAAAGAGATTGTCTGATGATTTCCGCATTCCATTGGGTCACCTCTCTTTGGAATGGGCACAAATATGGATCTCTTCCAATCAGTCAACCAGATAGTTGTCTTCCAAATTTCTTGGCAGAGATGAGTGAGTGCCTTTTGTGCCGCCTCACTTTTTAAAGTGTTGAAGAACAGAGATGTCAGCTTGAGAACTAAGGTGCGCCTGACCCAAGCCATGGTATTTTCAGTAACCTCATAGGGATGCGAAAGCTGGACAGTGAATAAGGAAGATCGTAGAAGAATTGATGCCTTTGAATTATGGTGTTGGAGGAGAATACTGAAAGTGCCATGGACTGCCAAAAGAACCAATAGATCTGTTTTGGACGAAGTGCAGCCAGAGTGCTCCTTGGAGGCCAGGATGGCTAAGCTTTGTCTCTCCTACTTTGGACATATTGTCAGGAGAGAACAACAGTTGCTGGAGAAGGATGTCTTGCTGGGTAAGATGGAGGGTCAGAGAAAAAGAGGAAGACCCCCAATGAGATGGATCAGCCAGGTGGCATCATTAATGGCGTCAAGTGTGGCAGCGGTAGTGAGGTTGGCCCAGGATCGGACATTGTTTCATTCTGCTGTGCATGGGGTCGCTATGAGTCGGTTCCGACTCGATGGCACCTGACAACAACAACAACAAGAAACATGAAATAAATGAAGATTATAACTCATCTAGAGCCTTAGTGTGGCACTGAAGGATAAGCACTGACTGCTAACCACAAGGTCAGCAGTTCAAACCCACCAGCCGCTCCTTGGAGACCCTCTACAGGGTTGCTGTTAGTTGGACCCAACTCATCTATTGGCTTAAACCTTGAAAAATCAACAGACTTCTATTGGCTTAAACCTTGAAAATAGATTTAGCTAGAAAACATGCCAATTACATGATAGTAGAGAAATGGTTGGGTTTGTGGATATTGTATGATTGAAATAAAGCAACAACCAAACTAGGAGTTTCTTTTCATCTTCAGAACCATTTCAGCTTGATGAATTAAAAGAATTATTATAAACAGTTTGATTCCTTGGTCTCGGTCTTTTAATTGGCAGTATCTAAGCAAAGAAAGGAGTCCTGATGGAGCGCTGTGGGCTAATGCACCAGACTGCAATGTTGGTTTGAACCACAAGGTCGGCGGTTCCAGCTCACCAGTCACTCCTAGGAAACCCTATACCAGGGTCATTATGGGTCGGAACCATTTCGATGGCACTTAATAACAACAAGCAATGAAAATCTCCATATCAACAATCTCTTATAATAATTGAAAATATATATAACCAACAGTCTTTAGCCTTTTAGTACCATCCATACAGCCAAACATGCATTTCTGGAAATCATTTTACTTACAGACAGATCGGATGAGTTTGACCTCAAGCTCTGTCTTTCTTACCTGTCTGAGTTGAGTAGTCTTCAGAATCCATTGACATTCATGAAAATCTTGATGGATATCATGCTGTCCATTTCTTTTACACAGCTGCACATCTCAAATCCTCCACACTTTGCTTTTTGTTGTTAAGTGCCATCGAGTCAGTTCTGACCCACAGCAACCCTGTATAGGGTTTCCAAGGAGATCCTTGGGGTTAGCATTGCAGAGCTTATCCGTTCTGTGTTTGGTATTCAGGACTAATCTGTGGCCTTGCTTCTGTCTTGACAGGAGCGCCGTAAGCAGCAGCAGTGGGAAATCGTGCACAAGCATAACGAGACTGCGCAAAAGATCGCTGCGCGAGCCTTCGCTCAACGCTACCTGGCTGACCTGCTTCCCTCCGTGTTCGGCAGCCTCCGGGATGGTGGCTACTTCTATGATCCCATTGAAAGAGGTGTGTGGAGGCTTCTCAGACTCCCTGTTCTAATGAGCACCCTCTTAATGGTTCAAATCTGTCCCCAGACCCTTTTATTTTGAGTGGGAATCTTTCAGTCTCTGAACGAAATCCAAGTCACTTGTAGGTGCTTCATGTACATACCATTGCTAATAAGGGGCGTGTTATAAAGGTCTTGGCTTTAGGATGTTAACTCTGCTTTATTGAGAAGCAAAATTAGCTAGTAGAAGGAGACTGGACTTGAAGTCAAAAACCTGAGTGTAAGCCCAGCTGTGTCATTAATGAGCCCTGTAACCATTATCTTCCTCATCTAGAAATGAGAATTCGTTAGGAGTTAAAGTCACAAACATATGAAAACCTTGTATATATGAGTGGTGGGGTGAGGGCTGTGTTGTCAATTCTGACTCCTAGCAACCTTGTAAATCTTTACAGGAGAAGACAGCCTCATCATTCTTCCATGGACTGCTTGGTGGACTTGAACTGCTGACCTTGTGGTTAGCAGCTCAACACATAACCCACTAAGCCACCGGGGCTTCTTGTATACATAAGTAGTTATTGATAAACCCTTTTCTCAACTGGCTTTCTGTTCCAGGCAAAAACCCTTTGAGGAAGGTGGTCGAGTTTATTCATTTATTTGTTGCTGTTAAGTGCTATCGAGTCTGTTCTGACTCATAGTGATGCTGTAGAGGGCTTCTATGAAGCAACTGGTGTTTTTGAATCACGACAGTGTGGTTAGCTGTCCAGTGCTTATCCAAAGTGGCATACCAGGAGTCCAACAATTAGGTATTAATAATAGAGGGAGGGCCCCACACACACATCTATCTGTCAGCGTGTCTTTCTGGGGTGGCTTGTCACAGTGTTTCAAATACCAGCAGCTCGCCCATAGTGAACAGTGGAGCTTCCAGACTAAGTAAGAATGGACCAGGAAGAAGGAGCAGGTAATCTACTTTTAAGGACTTGGCCCCTGAAACCCTGATGAATAGCAATGAAGCATTGTCTGATAGATACAGTGCTAGAAGATGAGCCTCTCAGGTTGGGAGCCACTCAAAATATGACTGAGGAAGAGCCACCTTCTCAAAGTAGAGTCACAAAGTGGAGCACAGCTTTTGGACATTCATTTACTGATGGGGCAGGATTCAAATGAGAAGAAACAGCTGCAAATATCTACTGGTAATCAGAATGTGGAATGTAAGAACAATGAATCTGGAAAATTAGAAGTCATCAAAATTAAATGGAATGCACAAAGGTTGACACCCTAGGCATTAGTGAGTGACCTGAAATGGGCAGGTATTGGCCATTTTGAGTAAGACAGTCATATGGCTTACCATACCAGGAATGACAAATTGAAAAAGAATGGCATCGTATTCATTGTCAAAAAAGGACATTTCAAAATCTATCTTGAAATGCAATGCTGTCTGTAATAGGACAATAACTATAAGCCTATAAGGAAGGCCAGTTACTACCACCAAAATCAGTGATAAAGAAATTGAAGAATTCTACTAACCTTATCAAGGAGCTCTGGTGGTATAGTGGGTTATGCTTTGGGCTGCTAACATAAACAACATGACTAGCAACTGTACATGTGAACCTCACCAGGTGGAATACACAGGAATAAAACTGACTGCATTGATGGGAAGGAGATGGTGGAGAAGCTCCGTATCATCAGCCAAAATAAGACTAGTGGACAACTGTGAAACAGACTATCAATTGCTCATATGCAAGTTCTGGCTGAAGCTAAAGAAAATTGAAACCATTCCATGAGAGACAAATACAATCTTGAGTATACCCCACCACAATTTAGAGACCATCTCAAGAACAGATTTGATTCATTAGACCAACCGAGTAGCTGTGAGATGACATCAAGAATATGTCATTAAGAATATGAAAAAAGAATGAATATTGGTTTCCCCTGCCTACTATTGTAAAACAGACACTTGAGTGGGATCAAAAGGAGTGTCAGGAAACATGATTACAGAAAGCTTGTAAGCCCGTCTTCAGCCTATAACTGATTGGAATACCTAAAAGGGGTTCTAGAACTTGCCCAGTGACATAGGCCACTTTCAGAGCCTTTGCAGCATATAGGACCTTAGGTGGAATCCTGAGCCCCATCCAGAACCTTCTGAGGTGGGACATTCCCACTTGAAAGGACGAGCAGACCAGCACCAGCCTAGAACAGCTAGAGCAACAGAAGATACAACTTCAAAGAAAGAGCAGCAGGAAAAACCCAAAACAAAAATGGCAGTATGATTGGCTGCTACAAGAACAAGGTAGTTGTTCACCAGGAAGCCACCAAGGCAAGCAATCAGGTCCCTTCAGGACAAATCCTTTCTAAGACTGGAACTCAAAGGGAACACATGAGCACACATGTAAGCTTGCTGGCAACCACATTGGTCAACTGGTGAGTGGAAGAGGGTGACAGGCAATGATGAAGAAATGGACTGAGTTCAACCATGTTGCCTAGACTCCCGTTGACCTGGAGATGAGAGAGAAAAGAAGAGGGCTGGTTTGTCTGAAGTGTGGTGAGACCTGGGGACTCCTGAGCCCGTGGACAAGGACATAGCCATGGAGGGCTAGAGCTGAGAGTGAAGCATCCCACAGATATGAAGTGAGGGGAGACATACAAAAACACCCAAATTTGCAGATAGT